TGTAGCAGTACACTGTGGGTGTTCCCACTGTGTAACTATCATATAAAATAGTGTAGCAGTACACTGTGGGTGTTCCCACTGTGTAACTATCATATAAAATAGTGTAGCAGTACACTGTGGGCGTTCCCACTGTGTAACTATCATATAAAATAGTGTAGCAGTACACTGTGGGCGTTCCCACTGTGTAACTATCATATAAAATAGTGTAGCAGCACACTGTGGGCGTTCCCACTGTGTAACTATCATATAAAATAGTGTAGCAGCACACTGTGGGTGTTCCCACTGTGTAACTATCATATAAAATAGTGTAGCAGTACACTGTGGGCGTTCCCACTGTGTAACTATCATATAAAATAGTGTAGCAGCACACTGTGGGTGTTCCCACTGTTTAACTATCATATAGAATAGTGTAGCAGTACACTGTGGGCGTTCCCACTGTGTAACTATCATATAAAATAGTGTAGCAGTACACTGTGGGTGTTCCCACTGTGTAACTATCATATAAAATAGTGTAGCAGTACCCTGTGGGTGTTCCCACTGTGTAACTATCATACAGAATAGTGTAGTAGTACACTGTGGGTGTTCCCACTGTGTAACTATCATACAGAATAGTGTAGTAGTACACTGTGGGTGTTCCCACTGTGTAACTATCATAAAATAGTGTAGCAGCACACTGTGGGTGTTCCCACTGTGTAACTATCATATAGAACTGCGTAGCAGTACACAATTGGGGTTCCCACATATATTAACTATATAAGGTATAAGGTTCGTCAGGAAACAGGACAGGTGTTTCCTGACGCGGGTCTTAGTTATATAATGGCCCTCAGCTGGAGCTTTTGGTCATCTGACCGATGCCTTCCACTGGCTTACATGTCCACCCTTTTAAAAATCATGGCTATGATTATAATCATTATCTATCCCACATACATCTCTCGCACAGAATACTGTAGTTATACACCGCGGAATTACAAATTTTTAAGGGAAACTCAAACAAAAAACAGCAGCACTACCTAACGGCCTTGGGAAGCCACAGTAAATGCGACTTGCGGCACGCAATCTCGGTATCACGAAAATGCTGCATTTTACACGGGAAAAAAATGTGCAAGAATGAAAATGCTGCTTATGTTGTGATGCTGAGTGTAAGATGTAGGACCTGATGCTACTCTGGAGATGCTGAAATCTATCATTAACCTCGATTATGTTAAACGCAAAGTGTTGCAACACTCTGGGATGATAGGATTATGTATACACTGTGAGGTGTGTCTCTGTGTATGTGTATACACAGAGAAGTGTGTTCCATATTTTAGGTATTAATGTATTCTTGGCTGGTGGTGAACAGTGACATGCAGCTTTAATGACCTTCGTGTAGCAGACTTGAAGCTCCATTAGCTAATCAACCAGCCTTAATGATCCTCTTGTAACAATCTTTAAGCCCCATTAATCAACCAAGTGAACTAACGATCTTTAATGACCCTAGTGTTGTAAATAGGCGGCCTTAAGCCGCATTAACCCACTAAGCAGCCTGAATTAACGACCCTCGTGTAGAAAACATACTTCAAGCCTTAACGACCCTCGTGTAGCAGACTTTAAACCCCATTAACCAACCAAGTAGCCTTAACGACCCTCGTGTAGCAGACTTTAAACCCCATTAACCAACCAAGTAGCCTTAACGACCCTCGTGTAGCAGACTTTAAATCCCATTAACCAACCAAGTAGCCTTAACGACCCTCGTGTAGCAGACTTTAAACCCCATTAACCAAGTAGCCTTAACGACCCTCGTGTAGCAGACTTTAAATCCCATTAACCAACCAAGTAGCCTTAACGACCCTCGTGTAGCAGACTTTAAACCCCATTAACCAACCAAGTAGCCTTAACGACCCTCGTGTAGAAGACATACTTCAAGCCCCATTAACCAACCAACCAGACTTAACGACTCTTGTACAGCAAACGGTCTTAAGCCCCATTAACCAACCAACCAGCGATGACTTTTTTATTTTTTTGCAGTGAATCACCAAAATTGGAAACAACAGTGAAGGGGCAGCTGCTCAACATTACCACAACTGTAAATCGCAAGCAGCTGCGACATATGACGCAAACATCACCACCACACCAAACTGCAGTGACAAATACTTATTAATAAATTATGAATGGAAGCCAAAATGGCGACAAATAATAGCGATATAATTATAGCAGAATAAACCTCGATACAGGTGTGGTGATGGGGGCTCTAGATCCAAAGAAATGGATCTGTTCTATCATTCTTTGCATCATATCTGATTGCCTAAATCCCTAAAGATTTAGCGCTTCCCCTTAATAATAATAATAATAATAATAATAATAATAATAATAATAATAATAATAATAATAATAATAATTTGCAATACCAGGACAGATTATAACTTGAAAAACACTAGACATTTTTATTTTTATTGTAAATATAATGACTTCAACATAAGTTTGTATATTTACACTGTCAACATAAAGAATGTACAATGCCTGGCCTGGTCAACACTCTCGAGTGTATTGTTGACACCTAACTACCCCGTCATGGGAGTGCCTTGATCCTGATGAAGGGCTCTTGATCTAATGCATTCATGCTATTCTTCGGTTCCTTGAATCAAGCTTGCTGTCTTCATTTCCAAGGCATTTCATTATTATTATTATTATTTATTATTAAAGATTCTCCGGTATTCTCCCGGCCCGGCCTTGGCTCCCTCTTTAGGGAGTGTCTGAGACCTAAGTTTCCCATGGGAGGAGGCACAAGTACTTCCTCATCTTTGGGACCAACTGTCCCCAGGCCTAGAAACTAGGCCTCTCTGGGCTGCTATCCCAGCCCCAAGGGGGATAATGGGAATGACAGGCTGGTGAGCTGCAAGTTCGGGCTCAGGCACCTACCCTATATATATATATATATATATATATATATATATATATATATATATATATATATATATTATATATATATATATATATATATATATATATATATATATATATATATATATATATATATATATATATATATATAAATGAACGCTGTCTCCTGACAAGACAACAGCTTAAGGAGACGAGTCTCCACAGCAACAGTAGAAGTAAATCTAGCAGTGGCAGACGTAGTGCCATCTGTCATGATGTGAGTGTCAAGCAGTGTGGCACCAGCTGTGGAGGCACCGCATACCACCTGCTCTATAATGGGCCAGTGCGAGCCAGCCGGACTAACTATCGCTCATTACAAGAGACTGGCGGCTTCCTGACAGAGTGACCCTGTCTACTTCCGCGTTCTCTATATAGCGTCATCTTTCAAGTTTACTAATCTTGTCAGCATAGTTGCTGATCCCTGTATTCCCAGTATTATATAGCATAGCATATTAGTATCATCCCTGTGCTTTAGACACGAGATCCCTCGTAGGCCTTTGGCTTTGTGTGACGTCATAGGGATACACATGGGCAGTGATCCCCCTGTCCCGTCCTCACTCGGCGGCAGTCCATACAGGCGTGAACAGGCTAGGCACCGGGCTCCATCTCTCATCTCAGTCTGACAATACACCTACCATCCTACAAGTGTGTCTACCTTATCCTACGATATCTCCATTCAAGAACCCTTACGACAAATGGTGGCAGCGGTGGGATTGAGTACACCATCCCCGTTCACAACTCCTTTGAAGCCTTAAGCAGTCTCGAGAATGACAACCCTGCCGAGGTTGTTGCTTCACATGTCTCTGACACAGATGATTTTGGGGATGGAGTAGAACAAGTCTTTTCTGATGACAATCCCACCGCTGTCACCATTTATCATGTGGGAGTTCGATACGTGGATTAGGGTAGAAATACTCACGTAGGCTGTTATACGTATAATTACTGATATGTGGACAGAGCCCGCAGCCGTACCTATCTCCTTGCTTCCACTCGTAACACTGACTAGCCGTCTGGCCAGTACCCCGTAGTGGGTGTTTTGAAATAGTGTCAGCTCAGCACAATATGAGTTGAATCAACGGACGGTTACGGTAACTGGTTACTAGACTGGTAACTGGTTACTACTACTGAGAATCTGGTTGCTAAAAGAGGTCTCCATGGCCTGGTGGCAAAACTTCTCACTTTACACGGTGAGGGTCCGGGTTCGATTCCCGGCAATGGGGTGGAACCACTGGACGTGTTTCCTTACACGGGTTGTCTATGTTCACCCAGCAGTAAAATGGATACCTGGGTGTTAGTGGATTGGTGTGGGTCGCATCCTGGGGACAAAAGTGACCTAATTTGCTCGAAATGCTCAGCATAACAAGGGACTTTTTATATAGTAGTATGTCACTGATGTCAACTATGGTCTGTATACCTTGTACATGTACTGGTAGTAAATAAAGATATTATTATTATTATGTTTATCTAGTTCAAAGCTTGTTAGTGAAGTATTACACATTAATCGTGTACTGTACCAGTGATTAATGTACCATACAGGTACCATACTTGTCTGACACAGCAACATGTAAATAGTTCATTACCTATGTAACTTGTTCAGCTCTCAAAACTTTGCTGCCCAGTACTGGGACTCATTATGTGCCTCTGTAATGTTGAGGTACAGTCCCTGGACCCATTATGTGTCTGTAATGTTGAGGTACAGTCCCTGGACCCATTATGTGTCTCTGTAATGTTGAGGTACAGTCCCTGGACCCATTATGTGTCTGTAATGTTGAGGTACAGTCCCTGGACCCATTATGTGTCTGTGATGTTGAGGTACAGTCCCTGGACCCTTATGTGCCTCTGTAATGTTGAGGTACAGTCCCTGGACCCGTTATGTACCTTTATAATGTTGAGGTACAGTCCCTGGACCCGTTATGTACCTCTGTAATGTTGAGGTACAGTCCCTGGACCCATTATGTACCTTTGTAATGTTGAGGTACAGTCCCTGGACCCAGGGATTGTACCTCAACATTAAACTATGAAATATTAAACATTTTCAAGATTAAACAATGAAAGAAAACACAAAAACCAGGACTGATACTCAC